AAGCCTTTTACAGCTAACGTCTGTTGTGTTCTTTGAAACTTATACCAACCATAAGTATAGAACATGACAAATCCATTGTTGACAAAAACTACTCAGAAAATATAGGCTAAAATACTAAAAAAGCACTCGAACCCTTTCACTTATTTCTTTGCTAAATATGAACCTATACTTTTAGTGTACTCAGACAAGCCCCTTTCCTTTGATTTGTACTTAAATAAGCTCCTACTTCAGATAAAATGTGATTTTTATTATTGGGAAAAGGTTAAAGATTAGGGGATTATTTGGATACAAATTACATTCTTATTTGGGTGTAATAAAATTATAAGAGCTTTTCTAATGAAGTGGTAAAGTTAAAGGACCTCTACAATATTTTAGTGGAAAACATAGCATCAGCACTATATGGGTATGAAGTACTAAGAAACTAGCCACATATAATACCCTCCAAAATCAATGGGGCTACCATGTTAAATAATTAAAATCAAGCGAAGCATCTTACAAAAAATGCACCATTTATTGAAAACAGTCGACAGTTGTGAACATCCAAGACATAATGCATATATTGCATCACTTTAACCAATACTTTCCTGTTAAATTCACATAAGTTACATGTCATTTGTTGACGCGAGACCTAGGGCTCTAAAAGAGCTTCATGACATGTATGACAATTCAATATTGTGTAAAGCTCAGCAGGCATTCTCATTTTCTTCTCCACAATAGCGTACGACTTTGTGATAACCGACAATGGATCAAAAGGTATGTAATAAAATTATCCAAAACTCAGATGACCAGTTTCACCATATTAGATGGGAAACTTATTCCTTTGCCATTGAACACCAGACGATATGCACAATATATTGAACAAAATGCCCAAGTTTCAGCAACACCATGTTTATCAAGACAGCACCATAAAAGGGCTATAATAATGCATACAATTGTTAAATAAAAAGGAAAAAAGATACTCACAATTCTCAATCCAAATCTTCTTGCCTGGTCTCTGTATTATCACCTGGTCCTGGCCCTGGACCAGGTCCAGGCCCCTGAGCTTGAAATGGCCAAGGCAGAGATATCCTAAAACTCCTCTCAACAGGTTGATTATCCCCATCAGACCTCTGCACACTATCACCACCTCCATTACCTTCACCCGTCCCGTGAGCCCTCCTCTCATAATCAGGATCATCGGTAGGCAACTCGTGACGACACACGGGGCACGAATTATGCAATTCCAGCCACGGCAATATGCAATCCTTATGATAAAGATGTTTACATGGCATCTGCTTCGCTTCCGTCCCTTCCTTAAATTCATCCATGCAAACTGCACACTGGTTGAACTCCGAATTCGAATTATCCTTCGTTATGTTCACCGAAGGTAGAGCTTCAATAGCTGATTTAGATGCCGGTGGGGTCCCGTACCGGTTGGGATCATTTTCTGCCAGCTGCTGGATGAATTGCTCGAGGCCCGGTCCGATGAAATAATCCCCTATGTTCGCCGGAAGCCGAAATCCCGCTTCGGACGGATTGTTCTGGATCACGAACTCGATGCGAGCCCCGCTTGAACGAAGATCGTTTAGATGATTTTGGATGAAGGTAAACGGATCGAAAGCAAACGGGTCGCCTCTGACTGACCGGGTCGGCCCAGGTAAACTAGGGTTGTCAGTGTCCCCGGGAGCAGAGGATGATGAAGTTGTCGTGGATGAAGAAGAAGGAAGGGCAGGAAAAAGGAGAGGAAGCAAGGAAGCGAACGGATCCGTCAACGTTGAGAACGGGTCAGCGAACGGGGCAGAATTCGGATTCGGGTTAAGGAAACCGGGGCCTTGATTAGGATTTGAGCTTTCGTATTCCTCGAGGAATCCCTCGTTGCATATGGGACAAAAAGGATCAGAAGAGGAAGGGGAAATTGTTACCGTCACGGAACGGTTGCATTGGTAGCAAAAGAAAGGCTTGTTGGTTACGCCGACGGTGTTAACGTCGCCGCCTCCGCCGGTGACGTTCCCGTCGGACGACATTTTTTTTTTCAGGTTTCGAGTTGTTTGGGACGGAGCCGGAAGAGCTGGAGAGGATAAATTAGAATCGTGGAAATGAAGGTATTTAGGGAGAGATTTTCTCTTCCTGGAGGCTTCTAGAAGGTCTGCTAAATTTGATTAATTACTATTTAAATGATTTAATCCATTTTTTTATGGTCACAATCCACTAATACATGTGACCCATGATTGTATAAATTTATTAAATTTAACTAAAATTAAGATTCAGTTGACATCTTGTGGTATAAAAGTTAATTGACAAGTCGTACTCTCGATTCAATTTTAGGGTAAATTGTAAGGGTGACCACCTAATTATGGTCATAAATTATTTTGATCACCAACATTTAAAAATGATCAAACAGATCACTCAACTCTTTAACGGATGTGTTTAGAAAAAATCAAACAGATCACTTAACTCTTTAACAGATGTGATGACATGATAATTAATAAAATTAACATAATTTTTACAAATTAAACTTACAAAGTAACTTGTGAGGGGGAGGGGAATCGATCCAAGGAATTTCAGGAGTCCATAGGCAAGCCTTTACCATTAGGTTAAGCTACCTATTTAATTTAAAATTGCACAAGATTTTATATACTGTTTAAAGTTATTTCACACATATCTATATATATTAAATTATTAAAACAAATCTAATAAATAAATTATATTTTACCTATATATTAAATTATAGTTAATGAAAAACTTAAATATAAAAATGAGTTTAATATTTTTATTTAAATTATTTTTTATAATTATATTAAAATAATATTATATTAAAATAATAATATATCAAATATATTAAAAATAAAATTATATTAAAATTATCTAGAGAATTCAAATCACAAAATAAAAACTAGTTTAAGATTTTTATTTTAATTATTTCTCTAAAATTATTTTTAAATAATAACATATAAGTTATATTACAATTATTTAAAGAATCCACATAATAAAATAAATTAAATTAAAAATAAAAATATTAAACTTATTTTCATCTTTTAGTCTTAAATTAACTATGATTTAATATATATGTAAAATATAATTTATTTATTAGATTTGTTTTAATAATTTAATATATGTGTGTGTGAAATAACCTTAAACACAATATATAAAATGTTGTGCAATTTTGAACTAAACAGATAGTTTGGCCTAGTGACAAAGGCTTGCCCAACCCCACCCCCACAAGCTGCTTTGTAAGTTTAATTTGTTTTCCCTTTACACCTGATTGGTGGGAAAAATTATTAATTTTATTAACTGTCACATTACCTCCATTGTTAAAAATTAACAACGAGGGAATTTATTTAACCATCTAAATAGTTCGGTGATTTATTTGATCAAATTGAAACATCGATGGTCAAAATGATTTTTGATCATAATTGAGTGGTTGTATGTGTAGTTTACCCTAATATTTATATGTCTTTCTATTTTTTATACTTAAAGGTCACTATTGTCCCTGTAGTGGACTCAATTTATCACTTTCGCCCCTATTATATTTTTCACATCAATTAAACTCTCAAAATTATTTAATTGCATCAAATTATACTGTTGACCGTTTTGACTGAAAAACTGTTAGTTTCTGCTTATGTGGCCAAATTGCTGACGTGGCTCATGACAACGTGGCATTTATTAAAAATAAATAATTAAATATTTCCTAAAATATTTAAAATATCCCATCTTAGTGGCCTCCATAGCAAGCGACGGTCACAAGGGAGCAAGCTACAATGAACCAGTGTCGGACGACCGACTGTTAGAGGAACGATGAGAAACTTTGATGCCAAAGGAAACGAAAAGATCAAATAAATGAACAAATTTGCATTAAAAGCTCAACTCAAATCCAAATCTTCGATACCAAATTAAAAGATCAAGAAAGAAACTTTTTTTAATACAAAGGATGGAAACAAAACAACACTAGTTGTTTAACACAGTAACCATTGCTTGCTGTTGTAAAACACCATCTGCATGCAAAGCAGTGTGACAAAGCTCCATTTATCTAGTGTGGTTTTCATTTTGCAAGGAACGTGATTCGAATATAGTTGTATTTTTAAATATTTTAGCCACCTCCCTTACAAAATAAAAACCAACCCAAATGCATTATTTTTTTATATTAAAATTAATTGAATGTATTTTTAAATATTTTAGCCACCTCCCTTACAAAATAAAAACCAACCCAAATGCATTATTTTTTTATATTAAAATTAATTGAATATATGCTTTTAAATACTCATGTATTTTTCTTTAATGAAAAAAACTCCATTTATCTATGCAGTGTGATTTTCATTTTGCAAGGAATGTGATGACTTATTTGATGTTTTAGTAATAGTTTATGGGTAAAACTAAATATTAACCTCACGCTCGCACCCAAAATTTAAGGTCGTGGGATCGAGTCCCACGGAGGGTATTTCATAATTCGAAGGTCTTCTACGGAAACTGCTCTCAACCTGGTGTTGGGGGCAACCTACTATCTTACCTCCCCCTTATCCCATTACATATGGAAACAAGGGACAACCATTTTGTTCACAGAAACACCAATGTTGTAGCTCGCGCACTTGCCCATTGGGCTTTCTAATGTTGGTTTGTTTATGACATTCCGGTTTGTATTACGATCTTGTTATTTCTGATGCAATAAATAATTGATCAAGCCTATCTTAAAAAAAAGATAACGAGTGACTATTTTGTTACAAATCGATAATGTTGGTGACCATTTTGTTACAAATCGATAATATTAGTGACCAATTTGTTATTTTTAAAACTTCAGTGTGGAAAACAAAAAATTACTCAAAAACTAGTGACCATTAGTGTATTTCACCCTTTATTTTATTACTTGTATTTAAAATTCAATATTATCATCTTTAAGGTTGAGCCATTGTGGTTCCAGTCAAGCTGGAAAATAACATATATAAGCTCTGATTTGATTTCTCCATCACACAAAATAAATAATTAAATAAAAATTCAATTTTTAAATTAAAATAAAAATGTTGCGATCTCTCAGTTTTATCATTCCTCAATCCTCGCAATTAAACTCCAGCCGTAAAAAATGGACACGCTTCTCTCAAGTTCGCCGTCTATGGTGGCCCGGCCATCCCTCTCTCCGGTTCTCTCAACTGCTTTCCCGTCGAAGCTCCATTCCGCCGTCGCAACCTTCTCTTCTTCTCCTCCGATCATCGGCGGCTTCCGAAGGAACCACCTCCCGCTCCTACGACCGCTTACTTTCTCCACGCCTCCTAAATTCTCGATTCGGTGCGGTGCCGGTGTTAAGGAAATTAAAGAGAGCGAGTTTCGGAGCACGGTGCTGGAATCCAGCCGTCCGGTTCTCGTCGAGTTCGTTGCCACTTGGTGTGGACCTTGCCGCTTAATCTCTCCCGCCATGGAATCCATCGCACAGGTGCCTTTCTAGTACTCTTTCTCTTCATCGAAATTACATACTTATTCCGTTAATTAAGAAATTGTGCTTGTTGAATGAGTAACTATTGACTGATTAATAATGTATTTAGGAATACGGAGATAGATTAGAGGTTGTGAAAATCGATCACGATGCGAATCCGCAGTTGATTGAAGAATACAAAGTGTACGGACTGCCGACTTTGATATTGTTCAAGGATGGGCAGGAAGTTGCAGAAAGTAGGAGAGAAGGTGCGATTACGAAGGCCAAGCTTAAAATGTATGTTGATTCTCTCTTGGAGACATTTTCTGTTGCTTAGCATATCCCAACCTTTTTCTGGCCCATCATATTGATTGCATATTTGAAAAATTATTGTATAGTTTTTAACTACAAAATACCTGGAATTGGTTACTTGAGTTCTATATATACGAGTAAAACTGAATGCTATACTGCTCCATTTCCATTTTCTTTTTCTAAAATATAATTTTTTATATTAAATTTTTGGTTTTTTAATCCGAAGACATTCTAGGGTAAACTACACATTTAGTACATAAACTATCAGTTTTAGTCCATTTTAGTACCTAAACTTTTAATGTTCTAAAAATTACGCCTAACATTTAGTTTTTGTTTCATTTTAGTATCCCACCATTAAAAACTTAACGTGTTTAGTACCTTAAATATCAGTTTTGGCCTGTTTTAGTACCTAAACTTTCATTTTTTTAAAAAAATATGTTAAATTTTGAATAAGGGTATTAAAATAAAACAAAAACTAAACTTTATATATAATTTTGAAAAAAGTGAAAGTTTTTGTACTAAAATATGATCAGTCAGTCTTGCTTTATATTTATTCTACGTGAGACAAAAATGCCATTCCTATAAATGACCAATAATTAGAGTTTGCAAGATTTTTTCTGTTCATAGGATTGGTAAGCTAAGCTATTCATGTATGACGTATGTATGCCATAAATTAATTATGGGGTAAACTATTCGTTTAGTATATGATCTATCAGTTTTGATATGTTTTAGTATCTAAACTTTCAAATTTTTTTCTGAATTATGTTTAACGTTTAGTTTTCATTTTATTTTAGTACATTGTCATTAAAAACTTAGAGCGTTTAATACCTAAACTATTAGTTTTTGTCTGTTTTAGTACTTAAACTTTCAATCTTTTCAAAACTTAATGTTAAATTTTGAACGGGGTACTAAAATGAAACAAAAACTAAAGATTTTAACGACGATATATACTAAAATAAAACAAAAACTAAACTTTAAGTATAATTTTGAAAAAAAATTAAAGATTTATGTACTAAAATGAATCAAAATTGATAGTTTAAGCACTAAATGTATAATTTAGTATTAATTATGCTTCTATTTCATATTGATATTGATATTGATGTTGTCAATAATGTATTATATACAATTTTTGCCTTGTTATATATGTGTGTATATTCGTATCATATTTATGTTTTATTTTAGGCTTAAAACTAAAATAAGTGTCCGAATTATACCTAAATTCTCGAATATGTGTCTAAACTATTTTTTGACATATCCAGATGTCTAATGTTATAAACATGATCTATTTAGGTGTCCGGGTCGTCAACATCGTTAATTTTCCTATTATGTGACACATGTCACAATAAGGTAATTTTAAATTTATTTAAAAAATTTATTATATTTATAAAAAATACCTAATTTCTCTTAAATTATATAAACCCCCAAAATACCTAACATCCCAAAATCATATCCTTAATCCGTCGTTGTTCCCTTTTCGGCTACGACTATCGTGACTGACGTAGTCCATGTCATCCTCCTAATCATACGTTGTCGATTGTGTAACACCCTAAACTCAATGTGTCAACACTATCAGACTCTTTCATGATCCACAAAATATATAAACAATTCAAAATTATATTAGCATACATAAGACTGAATACATATATACAACCCTAAGTATACATGGTATGCACATACCCCTAATAGAATTCAAAATTGTACTCTGGTTGTCGAGATATTATAATTCCTCAGCGACGGTGCTCCCTGGATCTACTATCAGCTATCGAAATCCTGAAAATGGACCTATTAAGATATGAGCATAAGGACTGAAATATAGGGTATATTTGTTTCATTATAATTGATTTTTTAGAAAATATTTTTCTTATTATTTAATGTTTGGTTAGTAGAAAATAAATGTTTAATGTTATTTATTTTGTCGGTCAACGAATTTTTCTTGCATTTTCTGGAAAATGATTTACTGTCTAATTTTTCGTAGGTAGTTTTTTGAACTTTTAACTTCAAAACTTAAATACTCAAAATAATACTATTTTATGTATTTAATATTAATATACTATTTTAATATCATTTTGGTAAAAATATTAATTATTAAAATATATTTATTAATAATTTTAATGATATAATATTATATTTTTAGTGTTATAATATTGTATTTAGTTATATTATAATAATATATAGTATTATATTCTTATTTTAGTAATATATAATAAGTTTTATTATTTATTGTAGAAATAATATTTTAATATCATTATGAAAATAAATAATATTAACTAATATATTTTAAAATTTTAAAATTTTAAAAATAATATATAATATTATTTATTGTATTCAATATTTACAATAAATAGTTTATAAATACTTTCTAAAATATTTTTTATTAATCTAGAATAAGTATAAGATAGTATCTATTCATACATAACTCTCAATCTTTCGATATTGAACTCTCCCACCTTTGACATCTATGGTGCTTGAACCCGGTCCTCAAGGAATAATAACAATTTCTTTAACAAGGAGACCACTTAATTCGTGTCCATAAATTATTTTTTTAAAAATATAAATCTTTTTAAAGAAATAATTTTCGGAAAACTATTTTAAGTGTGAAATAAACATAGCCATAATTTACGTATAATGACTAATGAGACTCGAATAAGAAATCTTCACGCTAAATGAAGGTTCCTGGCGTTTACCAAGTCAACAGCATAACCAATATTCCAATCAACAATGGAAAATGTGGGTTTTAGGGAAGACTCTCGACTTTGGAGATTTCTGGCCCATTCTCTCTTGTTGTATTACTTTCTAGCTTCTTGTCTGGGTTCAAATCTTTCTATATTTTGGCTCAATTCGCTGGATAACACACAGTTGAAGCATCAATATGAACATTTTTTCTACTTACACTGCCATGTTGTTCTTGTTTATGATGACGATGATGATCATCTGTTGCAGCATTGGGTTCAGCCAGGCATGGACAGGAGATCGATCGAGAGCTACGGACACGATTCGTACGAGTATTCGCATCGAGCCAGATTCTTCGATGATTGTTGCAGGTGGGAAGGTGTTCATTGTAGTCCCACGAACTCTCAAGTCATCGGCATTTACTTTTACTCCATCAGGAAAGATGCTGAAGATTAATGGTTCGTGGATATGAGTTTGTTTTCTGAGCTCAAGCAGTTGCAGGAATTGCATCTCGTGGGGAACATCGGTGGACTCTATAATCCCGAAGGTAAGGTCTTCGCTCATGCTTCGGAATCGATGGCGGCTTTTTGGCAACTTTCTTGGAAGTGTCTCTGGTTTGTCATGCAGCAATATGTGAGCTTACTAACGATGGCTGGATCTCGTGGGGATCTTTCGATTATCATATATGGACTCATACATCTACTTATTTACAAAAGGGTGTCTCTATTTTTATCTTAAAAGGGATCGATCCCTTAATAATGGAAATGATCCATTTGTTTCATTGGACTTTCAATTTTATCCAAAAGAGGTCCATCCATTTACTTCATATAATTGTGTTAATTGATTTTAGCTTGGAGGGACTGATCCATTTACTTAATTAGACAAAATCAGAATTGTAATTAATCTATCATGATTAGAATTTATAACCCAAAATATATATGTGTGTATATATATGTTTCCCTAATATAAGTGCCCAAATTATCTCTTTTCCCAAATAGGTGTCTAACTATTTTTTGACTCATCTCGGTGCCTAACATTACAAATGTTACCCATTTAGATGTCCGAACCATCAACAATGTTAATTCCTCCGTTAAGTAACACGTTTCATAACCTGATAATTTTAAAAAAAATTATTTAAAATTAAAAAATTAAAATCATATATATATTTTTTAAAATGAAAACACAAATTTTGAAGTAATCCCAAAGCTTTGAAAACCTTCATTTCAACCCCTAAACCCACGCTGACCGTCGCCTTTTACCGTCGGCGAAGCTCCACCCAACCTTTCCTCCCTCTGCGACTAAAATCCCCATGAAATCATGGTCGATCGACGATCGATCGATGACGAATCAACGTTTTATACCCCGCAAAGCCTAGGATGAAAATCGCGACCCCGCACAATTCTGACAGCCAATTAACGGAAACTACGACGACGTATGAGTAGGAGGATGGTATAAACTATGTCAGTGGCGGTGGTTGTGGCCAGGCGGTAGCGGTGGATTAAGGTTAGGATTTGGAATTGTTTTATAATATAAGAAAAGTTAATATTTTTTTATAAATATCATAATATTTTTAATATTTTTTAAAAAATAAATTTTGAAATCACCAGATTGTGACACAAGTCACTTAACGGAGAAAATTAACGCCGTTGACGGCTCGGGCACCTAAATGGGTAACGTTTGTAATGTTAGACATCTGGATACGTCAAAAAATAGTTTAGGCACCTATTTGAGAAAAACGGTATAGTTTGGGCACTTATTTTAGTATTAAGCCTTTAATTAATGGTAATGACTAATGATGATATGACCAAAACTAATTAGAAGCCTGGAAAGCTCCATGTGAAGCCTCTTATACTCTTTACTCTTTTTCTTCACTCTCTACTCTTTCATTTCAAACTCTTGCATTTAAAAACAAATTGAAATTAGCATAGTAATTTAGATTGTGGATTTGGATTATGTGAGTGTTTGATTCGTTCTTTTGAATATTCATATAATACTTAGTTTCGGATGTTAAAATCATTACTCGTAAATTTAGAATAAAATGCTAAAATATCCATTATGAGTATTCAGGGACGGTGTCAGGATCCTAATTCAAAAGGAGCAAAGTATAACTTTTCAAAAAAGTAGTGGACAAATCATAATTATTCTATAAAATATTTAAACTTTCTATAAAAATTAAATGCAATTTTTTTTTGTTGAGTTGGGAAGGCACATCCCCTCTCCCTAAATCCGAATCCGAACCCGACCCAAACCTTTTTTAAAAAAAAATCCGACCCGATCGAATCAGGTTAGGTTGGAACTCGTCGGGTTCGGGTCTCATGCCCATTCCTAATTATGCATTTGGTTTCTTACTATGAGTAGACTTGGGACAAATTTCTGATTAAACAACAAAATCTCTTATCGTTTCACTAAGGATCCCAAAAGTTCATCACAAACCCTAAACCTTGCTTCATGTTTACCATTATATTAATTTAAAATTTTATATT